AAGTCAGTTTAACAATTACTCTCTCGTTTACACTTGGCTTATCCTCACTAAACTGACCATTGATATTCGTCCTTTCAAACGAACTGATACTAGCATAGTCATTGCACAAAATAGTTGAGTTGATAGGCGTCTGTTTCATTGTGGATGACAGCACCAACGACGACTGATTGATACCAGTTGATAAAGTTAGCAGTGAATCAAAAGCTGTTGTTGTTCGGCTTTCAGAAATTTGTCTACCTGCAAGACCACCACCACTGCTGTCTTTTACTATCAGCTCAGGTTTAGCAATAGCATCTGATGATAGGTGGGCTACATGCTGATCAATCACACTGACGGTCTCACAAGTATGCATGCCTTCTGCAACTGCACCTGCATTTATTTCTACTTCACGTTCAAGTTGTACAGAAACTTTGTTCAACCCAGCAGTAGTAGGCATATCCCTCATCTCATCATGATCAACCAAAGACAAATCTGCACTATCATGATCATTATCACAAATATTCAATTTACCGTCAAGTTCATCATTTTCAAACTCTTTGTTAACAGCAGTAGACAATTTTGGTTCCTCCTCGCAAATCATTAAAGTTTTTATATCTTCACTCTGACTAGTTATACTTTGTAAACTTGTAGGGTCAGAACTGGGCTCTGAAGCAGTAACTCTATTCTGTGACACTTTATTCAACAATGGCTTACCAGTTGCAACTACAGACTTCTTCACCGCACCGTTATCGTCACATAATTCGGAGTCAGGTCTGGAGTTTACATTTAGCTTATCACTGAACTTGCTCACCGGTTCACAGTTCACTTCTGTATGCACCTCATGCACACGTGTAAAACAAAACCGTGTTTGTCTTGCATCTTGTAACTTATCTGTTGACGATGTACTACGAAACCTGTTACACTCATTAGGTCTATATGCATTACTATACATCATGGAGCCTTCTCGATATCCACCTCTCTTAAGCCTACTCATCATCAATGATTGCATTTTGCTCTCAGACTGCTCTATTCTAGGGGTGAGATGTAATAGACTGGCGAACTTGCTCCTAGATAGACTGATACCACCTTTTACTAGTTTCAGGATATCATCAAACTTTGGCTCGATACCCTCATCCTCCATACGGGAGCTTATCTTCACCCACTTCCTTTGCAGTCGAGTAGGTATGCGTCTCGCAATTACCTCTAGGACTGAGCTCGAGTTGAGGTCACTCATGTAATTCATAGAAATCAAGGTATTCTTATAAGTCATAAGATTATCTAAAAACTCAGTAAGTGCCTTGGAGTCATCTTGAAGTTGACTTCCGTTACCTTTAACAGCTTCGTATACGTTCCTTACAATCATTGAAGGTCTTCCAAACCTTTGACGTAATATGCTCATAGCCTCAGCGTATCCCTCATTAGGGGGCATGAGCTTACAGCACTGTATAGCTCTTGAAGCATGTCCAGTGCAATACCTCATCAAATACATCAATTTCAATTCATCACTTAATAGAAAACTACTCAATATAATCTCAAACTCCTTTACAAATTGCGAATAATCAGCCGGGTTTCCATCGAAACACCGTGGTTCAAATTTAGGGAGTTTGATGTTCCTATTATCCCTGAACGGCGAAACAGTAACATCAACCATGTCATGCTTAACATCAGACACATCGTTACAATTAACAGACAAGTCACCATGACTTACTTTCTTGTTTGCATCCAAGACGCTCTGTCCCTTCTTTGACCCAGGCATTGTTGAACTTGACCCAATTCCAAAAACGTTCCAGATATTGCTTGTTCAAAGAAGACTTGACCGGCACCAGGAAAGATGAACGGTGACTATCCAAACTGTTACCAGCTGTCTGAATCGGCCAGAATCTGTTTCTACCATCAGAAACTGTCAGTCACGTCTCGTAAATCGTTAATGCCCAGCTCTCGCTACGCCCGGGCACACGCTGTTCCTTGCAGTTTTTCAGAAACGCTTAGTAATAACGGACGAAAAACCAAAAGACCGATTAGCTACTCGAGGATTCTTTATTGTTACACCAACATATAAAAATAATGTCTTCACTAGGGTCTGTGAACAAATATTACAATAATAAATCACAAGATTACTTCTGATGGTTTGCTACTGACTTCTTTCTGAACAGCGACCGATGAGACGATGACTGTCGTATTGATTCCTCCGCGAAAATTGGGGAAGTTGATTTTGAGCAAACAACCAAGAATTGATCGTTCAATCTTCAACTCCATTGACATAGGTTATCTATAAAATGGTGAAATTGTATTACATAACGTCGGTTGGTTTACCGATAGTGATGTCTTTAGCACTGGTTCGCAACAGCAACACCACTCATGGCTGAAGCGTGGCCATCTATCCTGCCAGGTCTGAGCTTTTGCCGTACTATCTGCTGCCCCTGTAGGCTGGCCCTCCCAATAGGATGGTCAGACTGTGCTCTTGAAATAGTGAGGAAAGAATGAAAAACTTACGGCTGCTCAAATATTTATTTGTTAACAATAATGTGACGACCATATGAAGACACATAATCATACCACAATGCCACTGACAAGCGTTTAGCTCTTAAAATTCAACTGTCCACTTTGCTTTTCAGTCCATGCAAACAAATAATTAATCGTTGAGAAAGAAGCGGCCGAGGTTCGGTTTGGCCATCTTCTTTGATCTCCCACAAAATCACAAGAAGTCGCATGCGAAAACGTACACGACAACCCGCCTTAATTTTCAGATTTGCTTAAGGATAGAATACTACTAGATGATGAACACCTTTCCATGCGTTTAGCAGATATTATAGCGGCCAGCCCATCAAACTGCTAAAAATGTATAAACTAACTTGAACTGCCGTGTTCGTGTCTAACCTCTACTAGTGGTCATTTAGCTATTGAACAGCTGACCATAAAAGGGAGTTAACGAAATGCTCACCAGCTTCTTCATGATGGTGGTTTTTCACACCGTTCAAGTTAGTTTCGGAAGGGGTGGCGCAAACGAGTAAAAACATGATGTAAATTGAGTGGGTCATAACTAGAAATAAGTCTCCAAGAGCTAGCACGATGAGGTGAATGAAGTGCTTACGTCTGAAGCAAAATTAGTGTTTCGATAAGTGAGATAGTGAAACTTTCGTCTGTCTGCCGACATGCGCCGAAAGTTTTGGTCCAAACGAAAACATGGGTATCGTCTAGTGTTAGAGACAACGAAATGAATCTGTACGATGTGAAATTGTAGGGAGACAGAAGGGGTGCAGGAGAGCAGAAGTAGTGCACATTTACGCCTTACAGCCAGTTTTGGTCGAGATTAGCATGTTTTCGACTGGACTTTGAAGTTAGCATGGCTTTGTGTGACTGCAAATAGATTCTTCATCGGTGAAGTTAACTAACTTCCAGTTTGTGCGACAACACAGAGGCATTGTCTACTGGAAGCAATTCACATAACCTGATCATGGAGTCCGGTTAGTTCAGTTCTGAGAGTTACTTTGAGACATAGTCTCTAAATACTGCAGAGAGATGCGAAATTGATGGAGAATCCTCAAAATTAGGATCTGCAACCTCCTGTTATCATGTACGGAAGACCACCTATGTTGTGTGGAATTCTTCACAAATGAAGATTGTGTATGTCACCCTCTGTAAATTCACAAAATACTGTAGCATCAAACTATTCCCCAAAAGCATTGACCACAGGAATCGTCAGTGAACATAGGATGCTGACCTTAGAGTTTAAGTCGACTTGTTTAGCTGAAGGCTTCCGGTCAAGCATCCTCGCCATTTGGCACTCCGTCGTGTCACATTCGTGCACGATTACTAGCCAGCTTAGCTTCCACTTTAGTCCTCGATTTGGTCCCAAAATATATATCGTAATTTGGACGATTCATTACTGCCTTTTGCTTTGCATTTGGTCCACGGGAAACAAATGGAAGTTGTTGGTATAAGATCTTGCGTTAGTATACTCCGTACAATTAGCGAACGTCAATACCGTCAGCCTCTAAAATACCATTGCAGGGCCGCTATTATTTCTTGTCTTAATCAGAGGTCTACAGAATAACTTAAGCTTACCTGTCCCTCTCCATGCAAACAGTGAAGAGAATGGAGAGGCTGGGAGAAATAACGATGATTATCACAGGGTGCTGGAGGATCTAGTCACTCTTGATAATTAAGGCACAACAAAAGGACTGACATTTGAAATGAGCGAATTTCGAGCTACATTTCTCTTCGCACTAGTAGCACACAAAGCCGTTATCTATAGTTCTGGAACCAACGTACTCCAAGCGTCGTTTAGGATTACTCTTGAGGGTAAGATTGGATTTATGCACCAGGTACCCATGGAGACGCGAACAGGACTACCACAACATTCAATTTGTTGCCGCACAACTAGGTGTACAATAACTGAAAATGCTTACAGCCAAAACATGAAGGTAGCTACAAGATTATGAATTTTCTTTTGGGGGTGCCAGCCCTGTGCAGTATACTATGTCTTTATGACCTGGAAAATGATTATGAAATCGCAACATGTTTTTAATACCCCAGTTTACCGTTGGCCTCTCCCAGCAAAATTTTTGGTAACTACCTGTAAATCACCCATATACTTACTTACTCACCTATGTTCCTTCTAATTTTCCTGTTATAACTACCGATCTTAACTCGGAAATTGTCTGTTGTCTATATTCAGACAATTAGTGCCAGTTATTAGTTCGGGGAAGATCAGATAGACGCACAAACTGATCCTGAGCAAACGGCCACGTGCCTAGTCATACATGAAGGGTAAATTTCACTTTGAAGGTTTTCCGCATATTGTAATATTCAAACTCAAGTTTTACACAGCTACTAGTTTGGAATGTGTGCTGAAGTTGATTTAGAGGCTGCATGAGTTTATATTCACTATTTGTTTTCATTTTTAAGAATTATCGATTATTAGGGGTCATTAGAAAAGAAGTTCTCATTACTTTTCGTATGAGTGACGAAGAGCACTTGTGACTCATTGTTTTAATCCATCGCGTCCATATTGACACACGTCACAATGGCGCATCCTGCGAAAAGGTCGAGGTATGATGTCCTCGCAGCAGCAACCGCCCAGTTTTACAACACTACTGGTACAGTGCCAGCTAGCCTTCAGTTAGCGACAGATATTTCTTACTTGGTAACCAACCAGCCAAGCTGCACCATTGTTGTTGCGGATATTCCGGAGGGTTGTACAGAGAGAGATTTAATTGGACTCTTTAGCAGATTTGGCCAAATCAAAAATGCAAAGTTGGTCTGCAGTGGTCGAGCAGCTCTTGTTGAATTTTGTGAGATCTCACCTCCTACTCGACTTGTCCACATGGCGAAGATTAATCCTTTTTGCGTCGGTCCAAACCGTGTTAGACTGGAATTCTCATCCGAAGTTATAACTCCTGTTGACCGTAAACATCCACATCAGTCACAGTCTTCAACCATAGACAATAGTAGTCCTACTCGTATTCTACACTTGGATATCGCAAATGCTGAGTACCCCATAACAGTTGATGTAATCAAGGCAATTTGTTCTCCTCATGGAAACATACTACGTACTTTTATTGGGAAAAAGAACCTTGATCGTTCACTGGAAGCTTTAGTTGAATTTGAGAATGTGGAAGAAGCCCGAGCTGCAAAAGAGCAACTCGATGGTGCTGACATATATTCTGGCTGTTGTAACCTAACAGTTGGATATTCGAGATTACAGCGTGTTCATGTAACACAAAACGATAGCGAGTCTTGGGACTTTACGGGTCCAAGCGGAAATGTTGAAGGACCTCTCAATAATTCTTCGACTCAGCGTACGTTACTTGGCCCAGCGGCCCCAGTTGGTGGATTAACTCCAGCTCCATCAATATTACCACCACCTGTGCCTGCTGCTCCACTCCCAGTATATCCTGCCCAGCCATATCAACAACCCCAGCCACCTATGGGTTATTATGGGATGGGTCCATACACTTCTCCGGTGTGTGCTGTTCCACCTGGCGCGCAGTTCGCGGCCCCAGCATATCCTGGATACTGGCCAGCAACTATGATCCCACCTGCTGGTGTCCAACCTATGCGACCACTTGACACTGGCTTCACTACTCCATCAAGAATTGTCATACTTCCTACTCCACCACCTGTGCATCAGGTAAACACTAATGGGGTTGGGATAGGCCATTCAACGTCGAATCTATCTATTTCAACTCCAGCAACTCGTCAATCAGATCTTTCAGTTTTTGAAGCTATTGAGGGTGTAGTGTTAATGGTTAGCAACATACCGCAGCGTATGAATTGTGATCACTTATTTAACCTCTTTTGCCTGTATGGCAATGTAGCACGGATCAAGTTCTTAAAGACCCGTCCTGGTGTCGCCCTAGTTCAGGTCGGGAATCCAGAAGCAGCAGATCTTATACATCGATACTTTAACGGAGTGTGCGTTTTTGGGAAGAATTTGCAACTTCATCACAGTAAGATCACAGAGCTAAAAGAGCACGAGAATCTGGGGACCCTATCGGACGGATCACCGGTTATGAAGAATTATATGAGTAAGTTTTGATAATAATACAGTAAACGAAAATGTATGGTTAAATCACCTTTTTAAGGATTTGATCGGTAACTGTTAATTTTATTTATCTAACTTAATGAGGATTATAAAATCTCTTGTTGACTAAGTGGATTTAGTACATGATTCTTGAATACCAGCAGCTGACAAACTATATTTTATTTTCGAGATTAGTTCCACACCACCGCATACATCGAAACAGTTGAATTAGTTAATTCAATTATTTAAAGCAGGGTGACCTGAGTTTTTGATCACTTCATGTTACATATACAAAAGTAGCAACAGTAATGGGATTTTAATATTAAGTTCATATTCGATGGCATATTCATAAATTTAGTGGTTTTATTATCTTAGTTTGTGCAACTACACATAAAGAGCTTTGATTGTTTCATATTCCTTGAAAGTCACACTGACCTCATTGTAACGATCAAACATGCCATTGTCAAGACGAAAACTTCCTATGGTTTCCACTATCCAAATAAGGTATAGGTAGCGTTTGGGTGGGGAACCAGAATTTGTATACCGGCCGTACTAGGCCGTCGATTTTTAGAGGAGTTCACTGCCTGTTGTATGCTGGTTAAGACAATTCACGACCATATTCTTCCTTTCGATTCGGCTTCCCCTTATGGGCTCTGTATTCTACTCGTTGAAAGTTCCACTCACCCTACAGAAATGATCGAACATCCATACTATCAGCACACTGGACATCTGGTTAGTTTTCTCGTTTCCGTACGGATTTTTTGTTGCTGATAGCTGTTGGGTAGTGGATGACATTTGATACCATATATGACTTTATTGCTCCTAATTCTTTTGTTGGAGATTGTTGTTAATTATTGTCCAGAAGTACGGATAGAAATCTGGATAGTGTCTATTGTGGTATCTCACCCAGGATTCGTTGAGAGCCGGGTTAGCAACAATGAAGTTTCTGTTAGCAGTGTATTAGCAAGTTTTACAAAAAGCTATCGCTTCACATGCCAAGGTTATGTTTTACTTTTTTTCCTTATAAATTAAAGTGGATCCAAACAATCGATTTAGAAATTCAATGGTGGCAGCAAAAAGTCGGATTTTGGAACCTTCTCGTACACTTCATTTCTTCAATGCTCCACTTAACTCTACACCAGAAGATATTTGTAGAATATTCACGGATAGTGGTGCAATGGCACCACCACGTGTAGTGATATTCACGACTAAAGAAGGCCAAAAGACTTCTCTTGGTAAGTTGTTTTGTTTTGAGCTTTAACATTGTATTATCTAGTGGTCATATCGTTAGGACCAACAAACAGAAGTCATTTTCGATAAATTCACAGTTCTTAATGGTGATGATCCGTTTTAAATAGTGTCTGTAGCTGTCGCTACGTTTGGGAAGAGGGTATACTTATACCAGCCCGAACCGTGCATATATGATGCTTTTCAGCAGTGCATAGAATTATTAGGTTGATACTCAACTTAGCTTATCAGCAGGTTGCGGTAAAATGGTGACATCTAACTAAAAAATTTTTAGCCAGTGATCCACTTCATAAAGTCAACTGTAAGAGCATGTGTCCCTTTGCCTTTTGAAGTCTTCTAAGTAATTTATTTAAACATTGTAACCCAATAAGCTGTTACCTAAACTGCAGCATAGAAGTGCAGCGTTTCTTGTTGAAATTCAAAACTCTTAAATAGCAAATGTGTGATCGAGTAGCTGGGCTTATATATATATATATATTCTCACATCCTACTCTGTGTGAGAGGCAACGACATCCTATTACACAGAAGTAGGGTGAACTAAGTCATCGCATCAAAACCCTTGGGACAAACCTATGCCCTTAACTGTTTTTTCCGGTGATGTAGTGTCTATTGGCAGTGTACATGATCTAAGTACTTGACATTGTTCACTACCTACTGGATCGAATCTCGCCAGTTATTCTTCGTATCATTTGCATCTCAAGTTATTAGAATAGTGGCTTATGGCTTATGACAAATAGAAAAGGCTTTTGCAAACTTACTGTTGACATACTGGTACTGATGTGTTGAGGTGCATGTGTGACCCTTATAAGATGTCTATTCTCACTACTATTTAATCATATGTGTACTGATGAATACAAATTTGACGTGGCAATTACTAGAATTGGAGGCTTGGCTTTTCAGCTGACAGGTCCTTGGTTCGTATCCCAATTAACCCACTTCATCCCTTGCCAAGCTGTTTGGTATTATCAGTCCTCATATAATATGTGGCCCACATCATGGTGCATAAAAAATCTGTTCTAAGTAACTGTTCTCTAACCACCAAAAAGTCTCATTGACTCAGAATATGTAGGTGATATATTTATTTGGTTGAAGACGCTGACAGAATGCATAGTTTCCTGAATCTCCTGGGCGAAGGGTTCGTCCCCGCCTGCTACGAGATTGGTCTCTATCAGCTTCCAATTTAGGCATACAGAAGGCTTAGCAGTTCAGTATATTCGCCACTTCCCTTATATGTGAAGGGAATCCAAACAGGTATGCAAGTTTTTAGTATATGCTTGGCAACATGCACTATCTTCGGTTGTCTATCAACGGGTTCCTAAACTGCATATTTTTCTGTTTTACTTAACGGTTTTGTAACAAAGTGGGTAAAAGTAGGGAGTTAAAAGATTGGAGGGTGTTGTTTGGGTTTGGGCGTGGATATCTATGTCCAGTTTGTCGCGTTAAGTAGGTTGGCGTGACTGGTAACTATCATTATCTTTTTTCGGAGTAACCAGGAAGTTAGCTGCGCCTAGCGACTACCGCTTGTCAAGCATTGTAGGCTCGAGAGTTTCGGAAGTTGTCTCACCGGAACTGCACCAATGCACGGAGGTCTAATGACAACGTAAAAATGCGAAGTCCGGGAGTGGTACATCTACCTTGGAAACAAGTTATAAATCTCAAACATTGTTTTTTACAAGCTTCAGTCAGTTTGTCGACATTTTTATTACCTGCTTAATGTCATTTCATGAACCTTATTATAATCACTTGAATAATAATTTAACTTTGATATAAATTGTTAAAGTGGCGTTTGGTTTTATTTCCTTCCAACAGGATTAGTCGAATGGGATACCTTAACCGAAGCACTAGAGGCCTTAATTCTAGCCAACCATCGACCAATTCATTTATCTGGATTTACTCATCCTTTTCATTTGAAAATTGCCTTCAGTCCAAAGCCTATATCAGAGGATAGAGCTGGTATCTCATTGATACGTTATCCTGCACCACCGCTGACGTCTACTCAATATCATAATTCATTGTCCGCTAACGGTCAACGAACTGTAGAGAAGTCGAATAGTGTTAATAATGACGAACCAGAAGATGAATTGGAAATTCTTTCGAAATAGAGAAAGCTGAAGGCTGTGAAAACTCTGAATCAACAAAAACGGCTTCAGATACCGCAAAATCCGGTTCAACTAAATCATCGAAAGATGAAGAGTCTAAGGCTGGATCGAAAGTCACGGAGAATGGAGATAAGGCATGATAGATATATAGCTTATATTTATATACATATATACGGTTTATGTTTTATCTAGGAAAAACGGCTTTTCCACTTTAGTTAGACTATAATTTCCTTCCCATCCTCCCCAGCAATGTTTATTATTATCAGTATGATTATCATATACGAGTTAATAATCGTTCAGTTTATTTCCACCTCATGCCTAACTTATGCATCATGTGTGTATAGGGATTTAATGTTTCTCCGTTGCATAGAACTCGTGTTTACGAAGGTTGTAATGTTGTGTGCCAATAATTCTTAAAAAGCTTCTAACTGACTAGTTAGTAAATCTTGTTTTATTATTTCTATAGGGGTGAGTGTATTAATATGCCTACTGCCTTTATTTTAACACTTATCTTTGCTCACTGATAAAACAGGCTTCACACAAAGACTCGGGTTCATGTGAATCATGTCTCTTAATCATCATTCGTAGTTATTCATTAATCATTCATGTTTCCTGATGTATTAATATTAATATTGATATTATTACTAAATATCTACTATCTAACACCCTTAATATGTTCGTTTATTATACATTAACAATAATCATTATTATAATTCATGTTTATATGTGGTTCTAATAGTTTCATTGACGTAAAATATATTTTTGAGTAAAAAAAGTCAATTTATTCTGTAATAAAAGCATTATATGTATATAGATTATATCACCATATAAAACCTGATAGGCGTCTTTCTGTTACTATGCCCACTCAACATCCTGCAGCATTTTATTTTCAATATTTTATTCTTTTGCGTTCCAAGTAGAGCATAGGACTTCAGGTTTAATCTTTAAAGTTTCAATCAGTAACGGTGGTGTCGCTCTTTTTTTTTAACGGAATGTTGAGGTTACTGGCCTCACGCTAGCCCAACCTTCCCTTGTTGCCTTGTTGGTCAGGGTTCAAGACCCGAACCACTTGGGGCGTTGTTGGCAAATATTCTATCGCTGGACCGCCAACGACGCACATCCTGCAGAAAATTTTCACATGAATTTTTTCTTAATGTATAGCCCTGTTATGTGTAGGCAAATCAGATTTTGTAGCTTTCTAGATAGTTATTATGTGTATAATTTAAGTGTGATTGTTTGTACTTCATGTGATGATTGATATTAGTTCTGTCGAATAATCGGGTAGTGATGGAGAGTGCAGACTAAGAACTCTCTGTTCGGCCTCGCCTTCACATTCACAAAATAAAATCAGTTTAACACACTATGATTTTTTAAATTATGGATTCTGTGATAAGTGTACACGTATATTGCCTTGAAACTTTTGATACCTATCTTTTCTTCACAGTGTAATTTCTTATTTTGTAATATTCCCTGAAAAATATTTAAACCGTGAATTTTGTATTCTTGACTTCCGGTTGCACGATAATGTATTTGGATGGGATGGTTTTAGGATTATTTTTAGTGATTGGCGTCTGTTGTAGTTATGACGAGTTTCATTAACACCAGGGTGCAATTCGTTACGGATGTCAGTGTAAGAGGTGTAGTAGTTTCTCCCGTAATCCGTGTTGGTTTGGGTTGAATGTAAGGCGTGTAAATGCGTTCTTCCACATCAGGAGAGAGTCTGTAATCCGTAGCAAAATAAATTTTCGAAAGTAGTTACAATTGAACTTCATTAATTGTAATCTTTTCCTTACCTACGTTGTATGTGTCGACCGGAAGCTTTCGTGGGGGTTGTCCCACACTTAACTGTCGTCTTTGAAGTGTGCAATAGAAACCATTGGTTTCTGTTTTTGTATCTCAATTGCAATGAGTTGGCCGCTTGAGAACGCTCCACCTTCCTTCACTCGACATCGTACTCGTATGTGTTTCATTCTTATTTCAAGCCTAGAGAATCGCAAACATTGTATAATTGTGGACCCTGTTGTTGTCACTTCAGTCGTGAACAGATGCAGTTTTATCATTAATGCATTCGACTGGCGAGCCTGGAAAACCACATGTTTTAATGTCAGTAACTGTTAAATGAGAGTAACCGACTTGTCTTAGTCACATGCTGCTGTAAGCTTTTTGAAGAGGGATAGTCATGTAGAAGTGCCGATATTCCGTTTTTTTCCATCTGCAATTTTTGTCATTAAATTTTCGTATTCATAAGAAGTCCTCATTTAGATATCCAGAACAAGGAGTGACGTGACTTTGCGAAGATACTCCCCGTTCAATTTCATTTAGTACGTCTGTACAATCACGACTATAGATAATTTGTTTTTTTGAATGTGTCTACTAGGTAACTGGTAGAATAAATATGGAGTCGTTAAGATCAGTGATTGTTAGTCAAGTTATAGTGTAGAAGCATGGTAACGGTCGCACAGTAACGACAAATTCTTGCAAAGGGATCATCACATTAAATGCAGAAATAGAAAAGTGGTAATATTACACGTCAGAATTGAGTTGGGTGGAAAAAGTGAATGAACTTCCTTCCACATTTTATGCTTATTGACAATTGTAATGTTTATAAACGGGTTAGCATAAAGAAAGGAGGTGAGGTTGGACAGGTTTCTTCTGTTAACAAAGCTAAGGCTTTTGAAATAACAGAGAAGGTTTTGTAGCTGAAGTCTTAGTATAAGACTTGCACCGAATGTCTCGAAGAATGATGTGAAAGCTTCGCAAATAAATCAACTAACTCAAAGACCCCACTACTAATTCAGAGCTAAGACTTCTTTATTTCTTGTGGTGTTGGAACATAGTAGTTGTTAGGTCTCGTCATGAACTGATATCAGCATTAGAGAACCATTGGGAGATCCGAGAGTACTTTACAGATGTTTCATCCTAGTCTGGAGCTCATCAGCGTCATGCACATACTGGGGTTCAAAAGGGAAACTCTGGTTACAAAGTGAGCTCTGCTGTACTATTCATTCATTGGGAACCAATTCGATAGCCCGTGAATTCTAACTTTGTCTGATTCACAGCCGCCATCCAATGTCATAATATTCGCCAGAATATTTGTCTTGTAGAAAGATAGTGCAAGAGAAGTCGTTGATAGGAAGGATTTAAGATAACCAATAAGTGTTAGTGAATCAGCATGTAACGAATTCACTTAATTCCAGCGTGACTCATCGATTGAATACTCACTCTTTACTTAAAGTGTTATATATAATTATCCTATGAGAAATACTTAATTAGTATGAGAGATTGAGGAATAAGATTATAAGCTGTAACAATTCGATTGCGTCATTATAATTAACAAATTAGTCGTTAGAGACGGAAACTTGATAATGTTAGGATTTGTAGGAAGGGTAACGGTAATATTAATAATAATAGTCGTTCGACTATTTATGATAGGTGCTAACAAAAGGAAAAGAAAAGATGTGATCAAAATGGCAGTAACAACAGCAGATCGAGTGTAAGATATTCAGACTGGAGACTAATTGGTATTGCGTCAATTCCTTTGTTTTGGCGCAAAAAGTGTTCCATCAGTCAAGTTTGCAGTGTGGCCACTATGCTAGGAGGTTTGGCTTCATAGTACATTGTGAATTGTTGTTATTGGGTCGTTGGAGGCAATCGTTAGGATGCCCTGACAATAATAATCAAAATAACGATAATTTAGGCTTCCTGCCGACTACCCTCAGCCACCCAAAAACAACAATTCACGATGCAGTGTGATGGCGAATCTCCTAGCATGGTGGCTACACTGCAAACTTGACTGATGGAATTCAGTCTGTGCCAAACAAAGACATGACGCATGATACTAGTTAGTATCCGCGAGCCCTAATACCATAGTGGTAACATCTGAATGGAGCAGTGGGCGATACGGATTTGAATCTTAGAAGTGGTATGATTTCCTTCAAGACTGCAGTCAGGCCGTGCTGACTGGTAAGTACCAACAAGCACGAAGCCTAGGAGGTCTGGTGAAGCTTCCTGCCGACTGCCTCCAACTATCTAAATTGAAAAGACACTAAGGTAGTGGATCCATGATGGAAGCACACTTAGCTTGTGTGCAGAGGAACCTTAATTATAGATCGTAACTACGCAACCCTTTGTGAGTGGTCCATATAGGACTGATGGTACCTCTTTGGATCCCCCATTTGTATGGGTCGTTTGTTTGTACCTTCGTTATGAGAAATTCTACTAGAGAGTAGCTCCAGTTGAATTGATACATTCGAGTCTTGCTGAGATATCACGTATCACGAAAAATTAGGTGTGTCAACTTTCGTGTTGGCTTTGTCTTCAGTCACGAGGATCTGGAAGAGTGTGTATCAGTCAGACGACTCAGGTACCCAAAGAAATGAACGTAATTGCTAATATCGCATCCACAAGCTGATATTTTGGCAGTTAAGTGTAGGATTGTATATGATCGCCAGAGTGCTTAAATGTATTGAAAGTTGTCGAGAGTTACGCAGCGTACAAACTCACTTGTTTATCCTGTAACAACGAAACCATTTGATCTGCCTAGATCAATACCAAATTGTTTTTCCAAACATACGAGATGTTTTGCGATCAGAAATTTAGAGTGATTATGGTTGCTTAAGTAGAGCTAGGATGTGTTCATGAAGGACTGAACGTAACACGATGGCATAGCAAGTGACATAGGTATCTTCAGCTCAACTAAGAGAGGCCATGAGCGCATGTTGTCGTATAAATGTGTTTCGAGGGGAAGCCCGAAGTTTACACACCCTGAATTTCTACTGCCTCATCCGAACTGATTAAGGCAAGAAGACTGATTGCGGTAAGTTGCGAATATGATGAGGAGCGAAAGCTGCTCAAATACAAACTAACAAGAAGTCTTTGCGACGACCGTAAAGAGTAGTGGTGGGCGACA